CTTCATCAGGGACCTAAAAAAACAAAAATGAAATAAGCAGGAGCAAAAACTCCAAGACCACTTTATTAAAAGGTGTCCATGGAGTAATATTAAGCACTACCACATTTATGTCATTCACAAAAGGCAAAAAAGCTTTCAGGAAGATAAGCTAGTATTACCCAATGATCTTTCTCCTCGTTTCCCGGTTTTATGATGTTCATCCAATCAGTTAATCCTTTCTTTCTCTCTGCAGACTGTTCATTTGGCTTTAAAGATTCAGTTGGCTTGATTCTTCCACCCATTTCCTTAAGCTGAATATAAAGAGATAAGTGTAATGCGTCACTAATAATAATCAACAAAAACCATTGATAAGGATAACCAAAGTCTTGAGGACATAAAACATGGGGACTATATTATGCATCTTTCAGAACTGCAGTAAAAGAAAAGCATATAAAGTTATAAAGACAGAATCATCCATTAAAAATATCAGCATATACAAACAATAATCTCATACTTCCATCTTTCAGTATAAGAAGGCCCAACTGGAACTTCCTAACTAATTCTATAAGTTACAAACAGAAGAAAAAGGATTTCATTTTTCGAATTATGAATGCTAGAAACCAACCAGTACAAGACATTGTAAAAATCTCAAGTAAATATCTTTAGGCATTGAAGGAACGTATTTGATATTCATCCACTTATGCACAGAGAACTCAGTTTGATGTGCTTCAATACCATCATCAATCAAATTATACCAACCTCATGTATAAGACAGGCCCCATTCAAGGGTAACCTAAAGTTAATTTCTAAGCTCAGTGCTGTCAGTTATGAAAGAGAACCATTATTCTTTTAAAAAGGGGAAAATACAACTCCAAAAAACCCAACCTGTACAGTCGCAGCAGTCACTGTATCCAAAAGGGTGTTGGTGGTGTAACTATTTGACTGCAATCTAATACGTCTTGGCTCAATATCGACAGAGCTCTTTGACCAAAATGCAAATGTAGATGAATCAGTTACCTGCATGAGAAGGGAAGAAACAAATTATTCAGACCTCAAGCCAAATACTAACAGTTCCATACTAGAATCAAAGCGAAACTAGAACAAACTTACTTCACATCTTGTAACGGTCTCGAGGGGATATATTCTCAATGTCCGACTGGTAGCAGGATCAAGCATACGAATACCATCCAAACCAATCTGGAAGATAATTTTTCTATCAACAAAATTTATATAAAAACAACAAGAAAAATCCAAAGGAACTAAAAAAAGAACGATGGGTGACATCCAAAATACTATCCAGACTTCAAACCAACCTAAGATAATCATTCAGATGAATGCCAAAAACAGCTTCATGCTTACATTACATGCATATCGAATATAGGAGAGTTCACATAGAAACATATGGAAAATTAGAGAAGTTTAAACTAACAATTCTGGAATCATCTTTTAGACTAAAAAAATTAAAATGTGCATTTTAAATATTAAATTAAATCCACTGAAAAGGAAGTCTCAGTGAGTGCTGCTGTCATTTATAAGATAGTAAATCAAGTTATAGAAGATACCATTAAAAATTTAAAAGAAGAAAAGAAGAATGCATCTCCATGTCTATTAAAACACTTGTAAACGCAAAATTCCAATAACAGGAGATAGCGCAATAATTCAATAATTTATAGTCCCTATTTACCATTTTCTTTAAAGTAACATTTATGCCAAAACATGATTTCTATCTAGTGGTGAAGCTCCAATTACAGTTCTCGCCTAAGGCTATGATCTAATTACTGAATTCGTAAGGATAGGAAAACAATATGAAACTTCCCACTCCAACCCCTAGTCAAGAACATAAAAGGTCTTCCCATTGTTTCAAAGAGACAATGGGGAGACGATAAGGATTAGATCAAAATCAAATGGTAAAAATGGGAAAGAAAGAAAGAAATAAGGTATGTACAATCAAAACGAAAATTAACAATGTGGCAATCAACACAGTGGAGATGGTAGAATAACAGCCCAATCAACAAAATAACATATATAAAAATTTGAAAACTTAATAGTTGTGCTTGTCCTAAAACATGAATTAAATTTCCACTCAAATAGGACAAAGTGCCTCCATGTTCATACCTGACAAAGAACATCCATGGTGCTCTGTCCTCCACTTTCAGCCAACAGCTTGACCCGGAACTTAAGCACCCCACTCTTCGCGTCTTCTTGAGTATCGGCTTTCGGTACTGCCCGCACGATCTTGCCGGAGCTCACTGATGAGTTCTTCCCAGAAGGGAAACTGATCGCCCTGCCGTAGTCATCGAATAAAGACGAGCTTGAAGACTTGGGTGCTGTGCCACGAGCCCCGTATGGCTCCACCTTGTCACCTTGGTAAGCATAAACACCGTCGCCGTACGCTTCATCGCGACCTGAATCATACCGCTTCCCATATAGATCCGATCCCAAATCGGATCGGGTCCGGTTGTAGCTTCCGTACCTATCATCTAAATAGGAACCGCCAACACCGCCGTGATCGAATTTCACAGAACTTTCGTAGGGATTTTCATATACAGGCGGGACTGAGGAGGGAGGTTGAGAAAACGGGCCTGAGTAAGCGGACGAATAAGGAGAAGAGGGATTGGAATTATGGTTAGGGTTTGCGGTAATTGTCGGTGGCAAAGTGGCATAACTGGGAGCCGATTGATTCTGATCGTATGGCGGATGATACGATTGCTGCTGAGGCGGCGGTTGATAGGGCGCATGGGTCTCAAAGGGAGGGAAAGAAGGTGGTTGAGGTGTGGGATTGAAGGTTTGCAAATTAGGGCTGGAGATTGGAGGAGGGGTATAGGAAGGAGCGGTGGGAGGGGCAGGATCAGGATTCAGAGAATACGGAGGGTAAGATTGGGAATAAGGCGAGTAATCGGAGGTGGTAAAAGGTGGTGCGGAGGCGTAGGGGTTCTGGTGGGGATCGGTGGGGTTGGGAATAGGGTTAGGGTTAGGGTTTTGAAGTGGAGGGTACTGGTAATATGGAGCAGAGGTGTAATCTCCGTGTTGCATCGCTGATTGAGGACGATAGACTGTTTCAGAGAGAGATGGATGACGAGGAGGGGAGGAGGAGGAGGAGGAGGAGGAGGAGCAAAATGTGGCTGTCGCTAGGTTTGGGCGAGGAAGCAAACCAACGAGTAGACTCAAAACGGTCTTGTGTAGCCTTGAATTTGTTAGGGCCTGTTTGGGATTTTTTTTTCTTTCCTTGTATCCCTTTTGGGCGTTTCAAACCAAATGGACCGATCTTGCCTCTTTGACTAAAACTGAGCCCAGTTGAACATCAACCTAGCCCATATAGCGTGAATTTGCTCACATCTATTTGCCCCAAACTTTTCATTTTTTATTTTATTTTTAAAGTTTCAATTTACAATAGAAACCGCCTTTCATTATTCTAAACTCATTTTTCCACCACCCCCTAACTCCAAAGAAATGCTAAAACTTGTTATGTAGTGTATGAGACAATTATTTTCTCTTGTGACAACAACTATGAAGCTTGTGCATGAGTGATGAGCACATGAAATATTTATTAAACACAATTGAGCTTAATAATCACTAGCCTCTATGCATGCGCTTCCGCGCCTGTGAGATGGTTTTTTTAAAAATAAATAAATTTATTTTAGAATTAAAAAAGATAATGAGTAGTTGTGTTCCATAAAAAGAGGATCCATTATTTGATTTTTCTTTTAATTTAATTTTTTTAAATATGAAAAAGTGTGAATTTACCATATTATCCTCATTTAAATAATAATTTAAATTCTTAATGTTTGCATTAACCAAGGGCATTTTCTGGTATTTTGAATATTTCACCATTCTCTGCCTTTTGTTTTATATATATAGATTACCATATCATTAATACTAAAATATATTCTCACGATCTATGTGTTTAAATAGTGAATATTTTGCAAATCGGTTCATAGCTTTGTGATAAGAGTATTTGTCGATTGGTGGTCTCATATTTGAACCCAAGTGACACATTGTCCTCCCATTGAGTATAACTCAGTTTGTTGAACTCTTCCACCTCCACCCTCCCCCAATTGCTTGTAAAAAAATAGTAGGAGTTACAAGAAGCACACTGACAAAGCAAAAATAAACCAATACATCTATGATAATTCATAGTTTTAGCTCCAAATATATGTTCATAAAGAACACATTATGAAATCTTATTATGTGATTTAATTGAGAACGGTTGTTTTCACTCCTTACCTTATAAAACTACATCGCTCTAATTGCAACTTGTCCTTTTATAGGACTACGGACTTGTTTCGAAGTGATTCTGGATATGCCATAATTACTTATGGGCAGAAACATTCCCACATGCTTCTCCCTATAATCACTTTAAGTGATTATGAGAAGAAGCACCTTCCATGGGTTTCTCCATAAAATCACTTATAGCCAATTTAGCATTGTTGTGATGTGAAAATAATCGCTGTTAGATTTGTTGTGAGAGAAAGCTATTGACGTTTGGTAAATATTTTGTTAAACATGTTGTTGGATAACTAAAAATGACATTATGTTGAAATGGCTTTTCTGTTCAAGTGTTTTTTGTAAAAGGAAAAGCATTTTCACTTTCATGTGCTAGAACTAAATCAAAAGGCTAGAACTCATTAACAATTTAGAAATCGAAACAGAATTGAAGCTTTTAAAATTACTTTCATGGTTTAGGATCAGTTTGAGTTGTACGATGACCAAAATTTGTAACATTCCGACCCAAATTTAAAGGATTCGATAATTTAATTAGTTTAATAAAGTATGAAATTACAATTTTGCCCTCGGGAGTAGGGGTAATTTGGTCACATTTTAATCCAAAATGATTTTGGGGAAATGAATGGTATTATTGCGTAAATCGTGCCGAGATGAGTCCGTAAACACATAGTGGGCTCAAATCGGAGTTGTAACGAATAAGTTACAAAAAAAACAAACGTAGTGGAAAAATCGTAAATAATTCGAAATTGGTTTATTAAAAATCTGGAATTCCTTCATTTTCTCTCTCTCTCTCTCTCTCTCTCTCTCTCATGTGCAAATAGCCCCCTCCCCCCACTGTTCATCCGAGCGGTTTTCTCACCACCGCCGCTACCTCCGGCCACCAAACTCAACAAGGTTGGTACCAAAAGAACCAGCACGATGTTGCCTTCCCATCCTGACCATACGCCTCCCCAGCCATTGCCGTATCTCGCCAGAATTTGCGAAAAATCGATCGGTTTTACCCATAACTTCAAGGAGCTCGTTCGGTTGATTCCAGCCACCAATTTCTTCAAACTTTGTATGCTTTTTCATCATCTCAATGTGTTCTGACTGATAATTGGGTTGTTTAGGATAAATTTCTGCGTTTTGATTGTCATTTAAGCGATTAAAGTTTTGGCCAGTTTCGGCCCTTGATTTCGGCAATCTTTGGCCACTTTTTGGGGTTAGTCTAAGAACAAAAGTTGCTGCACTCAATGTCCTGATCATGTAGGTATAAGTCTTGACTGGCGGTTTGGAGATTTTTCGATCGCCGGAATCGCTTTGGACACCCATGCGCTGGCAGTGTGTGGGCAGTGTGTGGGCACTGTTTGGGTGTCCCTCTTGGTCCTAAAATGATCCCCATATTGTCCTGAGCACGACGGTATGCTCAGATTTGAATTTGGTTATCGTTTGACCATAGATTGGATATTGTATATTATGGGTTATCCGGGTTCGATGTGTTCGGACCGTTGGATCGACTCCAATTTAATATATGTTGATCTAGGCATCCCTAGGATCTTGTAGGAATTCGTGGATCGTGAATCGGAGCCACAAATGTTCCAATTCAATAACTTAAAGTTTGCGTTAAACGATAACCGTCCGATCGTGCAATCGTGAGCGATCCGACCGTTCGATTTAGACCAAACTTGTAGGACATGCTTATTAAACCTTGTTGAACCCATAGGAACTTCCAGATTGGAAAACGGAGGTCGTGGGCCCAGTGGGCCTGGTTTACCAATTATGGAAAGTTTGACCGCCCGATTGACCAAGCGTCTTCCGAGGCTATCCCATCATCCGAAACACATAGTTGGACTTTAGGAACGTCTCGTTCCTCGTACACTTGCATGAAACCTGGGAAAGCAAGGATTTTATTTAAAGTTCTCGTACGAAGTGCTTTATGTTAATCTAGCGCTCGTGTTTGTAAATAGGTACTCCGGTTATTCGCACGCAGCAGACGGGACCCTCTCAGGGTCAAGCAACGTGGGACTAGTTGTGAGTAGACTTTGTTGTCAAATAATAAGCATTGTTTTATGCTAGAAAAACTATGCATATGGATTTAATGGTTTATTGAATTCATTATATATTCAATTGTTGAACTTAATATTTTCATAAAGTATTTGCAATATATTTGGGTTTTGGCATATTTGAGTATCTTGAATTTATATATATGGATTTTGAGAATTTCTAGCTATGGTTGGTTATGTGTGGGGTTCGTGGGGTGTTGATGGAAAGAAAGTGGATTTTAGCATGTCAGTTTGAAGTGTTATACGCACTACCCTATGTACCTCCTCGAATACTTGGAAATTTGAGATACTTGGATATGTTGGAACCGGGCACCCTTGACGAGGTGTTTCATAGACACTTTGCGGGGTTAGTCTGCGTGCGTAGGACTCGTCACATGCATACGAATATTGAGGATTCTTATGTACGTGTTGGAGAGATTTATCCCAGTTGGACGACTCGTTCCCTAACCACATGGTCAATTGAGAATTCTTCCATGTGGACTAGTCAAACAAGCCCCCGGTTGGATTGTTTCCCCGGTACAAACTTGGTGATGTCATACTTATATATTTATTTATATATTTCATATTATGTACATATATACAACTATTCGTTTATTATTATTTATCAGTGAGGATACTACCTCGCTCGTCGTGCCAATGGGCACACGTCTTGAGAGAATGGTTTGGGATTGGTATGAAAATTTTGATTTGGTTGAGAAACTAATTATCATTATGGGATTCCGGATTTCGTTATGGTTTTGACTAGACTTTATATATATATAGGGATATGATTTCCCCATTCCCCTTTTCTCCACTTACACTCAATTTTGCTTTTTAATACTTTTTAATCAATTTTGTTCTTTCTCTTTCCTATTCTACCCTTATCCTACATTAATTTCTTTTTTACTTCATTTTTATATTAGTTCTTTTTCTTTATACTTAATTTTCCAACTTGCACTCCATTTTCAGTATTTTTTTTTCCTTTAATCGAGTAAGAAATTAAGTTTTTAATTTTCCCTTTAATACTGAAAGTAAAGTGTAAGTTGGAAAATTAAGTATAAAGAAAAATAAATAATATAAAAGTGAAGTAAAAAAGAAATTAATGTAGGGTAAGGATAGAATAGGAAAGAGAAAGAACAAAATTGATTAAAAAGTATTAAAAAAAACAAAAGAGAGTGTAAGTGGAGAAAAGGGGCGTGGAGAAATTAGCTCCCGATATATATATATATATCCATGATGGTTTGAATGCATATGATTTTCGGCATCGTTTTCTAAACGGTGGGGTTATATTATGTTGGTTTCAACTGTAAACTAAACTTTGTTTTGTCCACTCACACTTTTCTATTTTGTGCCCCCCAAACAGTAGTTGACTGAGCTGAGCAACAAAGCCGAGTCCTGAGCTTCCGAACCTCGAGTTTCAGTAGTTTAAGCTTTGTTCGTTCCTCTCATGTTAAACTTTATTATCTTTTGTAAACCAAAATTATTAGATTGCTCTGTTATCGCCCGTATTAGGGTTTAATTTGTGAGGCCGGAGGCCATCTATGTAAACTGCATGATTTGTAACTTGTGCATGCTGTCAATTGGAGTTATTAAATGTGATTTTAACATGTTGAGAATTTTTGGGAATATCCAATTTTCAGGGGAGACTTTGCCGAAAGTCTCGTGTTTGTAGTAAATGGGCCAGAACTTTCAAGGGATTTGTCCTGGATTCCGAGGAATTCGGGGCTGGTCTTGTCAAAATCCATGATAAGCTTCGTTAACCTTAGTTGAGAATAATGAAATTAACAATAAAAATTAACCTAACATGTCTCTTATCTTATTCTTGTGGCTTCAAACCGAAAGTCTCATGTTTGTAGTAAATGGGCCAGAACTTTCAAGGGATTTGTCCTGGATTTCGAGGAATTCGGGCCTGGTCTTGTCAAAATCCATGATAAGCTTCTTTAACCTTAGTTGAGAATAATGAAATTAACAATAAAAATTAACCTAACATGTCTCTTATCTTATTCTTGTGGCTTCAAAAGAATGCTTCAACAATCCAACAAGAAAAATTGAAGGAAAAGAATGAGAAGAGTAGCTCTGAACTGAGGAACATGGAAGATAAGGCGTGAAGATGAACAATGGGGAGTAGAAGAACGAGGAGAAAGAGACATGGGCGTGAAAACATATGGGTTTATTTTTGGAATTCTGAAATTTTCATTAAACTCTAGCGTCTCTCCAAACTAATTGTCGCATAATGAGAAAATAAAAGCATATTTATATCAGCTTTCCCTTATAGCTTTCTTTTACAACAATTTTTAACAATAAATGATTTTCTCATAGTTTACCGAATGAGATAGGCTTTCCAAATTTTTTTAAAAATCATTTATCACCCCAAATAATTAGTGTCAAACAGCCACTTAAAGTGATTCTCAATATAAGTGATTTTTGGCCTATCTAAAATTACTCTAAAATGAACCATATGTCTAACAAAAGCTCCAAATAATTTTTGTTTGTTTTGTTTTAACCAAAGCTCCAAATAGTCCAATGTTCCCCTAAAGACAAAAGCAAAAAACTCCCTGAGGATCAAACATCAAACATATAGTGGGATTCCATGTCTGAAGGGAACATCTCAGCCGTCCATGTAATCCATCATCCAATAAGAACAGTGGTCAATTTAATTTAATGACGATAGAAGAGAGACCAGTTCAAATAGTAGGAAACTAGAAACGAAGGACGACCAGATGAGTGACTGAGTGGTGTCCATCTTCTGTCTTCTGCGTTCATTACTGAGATTGAAAGAAAGAAAAGGAAAAATCAGCAGTTTCGGTTTTCCATGCAGAAGATCTCCATTCTCGAAAAACACCACTACTCCTCTACCTTATTATGGAAACGGTTGCTTTGATACGCATTGCAGGGCCCTCTATTCTTTTATATATTTTTATTCAACTCACATCGACCAAGTTGTGGGATCCACAACAAACTACAAGGAAAACTCCAAGAGGGACCCCACTTTCTCTCTTTTTAGATACTACAACTCAAGGGAGGATGGCCTGGCTCAAGAAATTAAATTAAAAGCAGTTTTACGCTTTGCGGATATCAAAGACTGACATTTTAAGCAAAAGATGGGACGCTCAAAATAACCATTAGCTCCACCACCATCCCATTCTCTGTCTCTGTCTCTATCTCTACCCTCTGTAACGTTTCTACGTTAAAAAGCCATTCAAAGCTTTTTGTCTGAGATGAAAGTGGCCTCGTTTTGAACCAGCTGCTGCTGCTGCATTTGCAAGTTTCTGCTTTTACTACTTTTCACACGCTCGTGTCATTTTCTAATGGCTACCTATTTCATTGAAAACAGCGAAGAAAAAATTATCATAAGTAGTGGCGGTGGCAGTGGCAGTCCTTCCTTGTAATCTTAATGCTAAACGCCAAAATCTGCTTTCAATTTCTTATTTTCCTTTGGTCAGTTAGAGGTTTAGAATTAGAACCGTACACTGTTACGGCTAAATTAAAACAGCTGGCTTTCTTGTGACACAATAAAGGATTGCACGCTGGCATCAAACCTCACAGATTTTAACCAAACTCTGGGGATACGTACATATAATATAATATTATAGTACAGTAAAACTCACAAGGCCAGAAGAGGAAATTAAAGGGCAAAGATTCTTTTACCGTTTTCAACATCATCATCATCACCATTTTGATTCAAGATATGGATGGACCTTGTAGTACAAAAGAATTCGGATCGCATAGACCCCAAGATGGAAAAAGCTAAGCAATCATGATTCATGACAGTACAGGTAAGGTATCAACATGTGTACTTTTTCTCAAAATAAACAAGCCAAGATTTATGCTTTTCTTTTTTTAGGTTTTGGCCCTTTTGCTTGGTGCTTTTCTTGTTAGACCAAAAAGACCTCCATGCTTGCCTCCTTGGTGGATTCACAAACCGGGCAAGAACCAAGAAACGGTTCACAGGACTTACACGAACAGAGGTGTCTGCAAGGTAGAAAAAGAACGCACGACCTCCTAGTGTTACAGTTTTTGCAAGCCAACTTTTTCCCTTTTTCTTCAACCACTCGATTTTCTTGCAGCATTACTACCCTGTCGCTGTCTCTGTGTCCTCTGTCATACGAGCCACAGCAGGACTCTGCGTCTTCAGCTTCGTTACTGACCAAAACCAGTCTCTCTCTGACCTGTTCAAGCGTGTTGTTGAGGTCTATGACCATGGTCTCGTTTGCTTTGGCCATCCTCTGCCATGTCTCGCTTTCCATCTCTGCTTTCCTCAAGCAATCTTGGAGCTCTATGGCCCTCTTTGTCGCTTGTGCTAAGTGCTCTTCTTTTTGCCTAATCAAACTCAAGGTTCTAGATTCTAAGTTCCTCAAGAGGGCTGCCAGTTGTTGCTTTCTCTGCTCTTGCAAAGCAAACCTTAGCTTCTCATTCTGTTTTTAAGAAAGAAAAAAAAACATTTCAAAATTTTCAATTTTTTTATTTTTTGTTTATTTGAAAGGATGATGCAAATGCAATGATACCATGAAAAATAAAAGGACAAACAAGAAGGAACCCTTAAAAAAACATACAAATCAAATCAATCTCCAATAGTCCTACATGACAATGCTGTGAATTATTTACCTGCAATTGAAGAATGCAGTCAAGCTCGTGCCTTTGTAAGTCAAGCTGAGCACCCAAAGCTTCAGAAAACGGTGTTGGTAGAAAGCAATTGAAAGTCGAAGGGGAAACTGAAACTCCAAATTGGTTACAACAATCAAAGCCTATTGTATTCTGACTTTGAGGTGCTTGACGAAGATGAAAATGATCATGAAGAGGCTGAGGGCTCGGAAAGCTGGAAAAAATGTCGTCAAGGCCAGAAACAGGGTTGAGCTGCATCGACCAATCTTGTTGAAGGCCAGTAGACATGGTGGTCATGGTTGTGGGTAAGCCCAAGTTTTCAGAACAATACAACTGCGGTGCCTGAACTGCCATATTTTCTCGACCAATTGGTGAAATGAACAAGAGCAGACGGCCAAAACGTCCCCCTTAATTTCCTTCAAATATTTCGTGGACTATTAATACGAAACCAAAACTGAAACGAAATGGGGTAGGTTTAAAGCTAGAGGGTTCATGTTCTTGTTATATCAGAAAAGACGCATGACCCTTTCTTTCTCTCTCTAAACTCTCTCTATCCACCCTCTCTTTATTGGCATAACCTTTGCCTTGTTTGTTGTTGCTTTGGTTTCTGGTTTAACTGAAAGAGACCATTATGAAAGAAAGAAACCCGTGGGTGGTCTATATATATAGAGGGAAAACGGACAAATCTTCTTAATATATTTATTAGGATGAATAAATGCGAGTTTAAAATTAATTAATTAATTTATTCAGGGATAGTTTGATTTGATGGGGTATTGACCTAATTAAGGAACTAAAAAAGGAAAATTAAAGGGTCGATGGAGAGAAGAAAAGAAAGTTAAGAGCTCGGGAGTCTTTCTCTCTTTTTCCCAAAATCCCAAAAGGCTTCAAAACCAATAGCATTAAATTAATGAGAGAGAGAGATACAAGGGGTGGCGGGAAACGACGACGTACACATGCAGATTTTGTGATAGAAGGGTCACAGAATTTTCGGGTCAGAGATTTCATAAAGAAAGCAAGAGAGAGAGATGTGTTGGTGAAAGAGAAATTCACTCAATTGAGACGTGAAAGGGTCAGACGTTATATTAGAGGAGGGAATCAGTGAGATTGGAGAAATTGTCAGTTTGGTCATTGGGAAAGGCTGAAGAATAGCATTTCTATTTCCTATTTTTATAATTCTTTTCAATCAATTTATCACAGTTTCTTTCTCCTTTTACAAATTAAAATGTACAACATGTTGTGTTAAATCTCTATTTATTTTATTATAAGCCCTTTATAATATGTGTAATTCAATTCAATTGAGACAGAGTGAGACATGAAATTAACATTTTAACATATAATGTGAGACAAATTGAGTTTCGTAAAGCAAAGTGATACTAAAATTGAGTTTCAAAAGTCAGATCAATAATCAAGCCTTGAATTAATAACCTACAAGCCATGCTACCAATGGTGCAGTGAATAGCTAGTGAGTCGGTGATGCATGATAATTTATTTATTTATTTGTTTTTGGTGGAAGCGAAAAAGGGACAAAACAAGGCCGCTCACACTTTACATAATAAACCTACGTGACGTGCCAAACAAAATATTTAATCAAGTTTTGATTTTATCGTAAAAAGATTGATGAGCTTGATAGTTGGAACAACCAAGTTTGGACCAGTGCTTTGACTTTTATATTGGGTCGATCCGGCCGAACAGAAAAGGTGCGACTCTGTTCGACAGATTCAGTCAGCTGTAGGATATCTCATATCTAGCCCAACCATGTCAAATATAATGATCTCATGACATGGTCAAATAGAACTTGGAAACAACACCTGCCAACAGCTCTGCATGTATGATATACACAAGAGCGTTCTAGTTTGCTCTCTAGCATCACAGAGTTCAAACCATTGAAAAGCGCTGCTAAATATAAATGGGAGAAACATATCAGAATGATCAACCATAACAC